AAAAACTACGAGCACTCTTATTGAAATTTTAATTTTAGGCGAGTTGACCCAATCAAACAGCTTTGGAGGCTAATCACCAATCCCAACCTTCTCATGAGCCAGATCCTCAAATGCAAATACTTCCCAAAAGGCTCTTTCTTTGATGCAAAACCTCCTCTTAGCAGCTCCTGGCCCTGGAAAAGTTGGATGAAAGTCTGTCCATCTTTCTCACAACACCTTTGAATGATTATTGGCAATGGTCAATCAGCTCTAATATGGGAACACCATTGGCTCCACTCTCTTCCCACATCTGAAACCTCAGAGAAGCTCCTCACTTTCTCCAATCATCTTAAAAGTCTGTCAACTCATGAGTCCCTCAGATTGCAGGTGGAACATTGATCTTATCAGAGACACATTCTCAGCACAGGAAGCAGAGGCTATTCTCAGCATAAACAGTCAAGACAGAGCAAAGAATGACAGATTCATTTGGGTACCAGACAAGAAAGAGGTTTTCTCAGTCTCATCAGCCTATACTCCGTTAATCCAAGGCAAAATAAGCAAACTGGACATGCCTGAATCTAGTTCCCAATCCACTTGGATCAACAAAGTCAGAACTCTGTCATGGAAACTGAAAATAAAGAGAAAGCTGAAACACTTTATCTGGAAGTGTTTTAACAACACTCTTCCTGTTTGTTCCAACCTTGCAAAAAGAGGCCTTATTGTTGACACAATTTGTTCCTGTTGTGGGGAGGCTGTAGAATCTGTGGAGCACATTTTTTTCCATTGTTTCAGAGCCTAAACAACATGGAAGCTGGCACCACTGTCCTGGCCTAACACTAACCCTCAGACTCCTTGTTTCAAGTACTGGTGGAGAGACATCTGCTCAGCAAAAGGGCAGGAAGATGTGGACAGGATTGAGTTCACCACATATATCTTGTGGTGGCTTTGGAAATCCAGAAACCTGTGGATATTCAAAAACTCTTGGCTGCCCGAGAAGGAGACCATCAAATCAGCACTCCTTGAATGGCAGGAATTTTCCACTGCTAGCTCTTTGCATTGATAGTTCCTTTCCTTTTTTAGTACAGGACGCTTTTGGGTTTATTAGTATTTTGCTCTTGTTGCGTTTATTCCCCCTGTTGTGTTTTGCCCATATTTCCTCCTAGTTCCCTCCCCTGTGTTTTTCCCTAGCTAGGTCCTTTGGTTCAGTGGCTAGTTATTCATTTTGTATTAGGCCTAGATAGGTTAGCTAAAGGTTTCCAGTATTCTTACTGCCTTTTAGTAAGCTATCTTGGTTTATATTTGCTTAGTTCCCCTAGTGGAACTCCTTATTTGTATTGGCCAATCGACCTTTCGAACATTGTAAATTTGATGAAGTCTATTCAAATCTATCGTTCCGAGAAAAAAAAAAAAAGAAGACCCAATTAACCAAATTGTGTGCACTCTACACTCAATTAAGTTAGAGAACGTAGCTCGAGGATCCATGTTGGCCTCAATCAACAAAACCCAAACCCTTAATACTTTATAATGTTATTGTAAAACCTTTTACATTGAACTATGTATGTAGAGATTGTGAAGGACCAATGCTACAATGTTATTTGGATGTCATTGTAAAACTTATTACCCTGGACTATAGATATATAGAGATTGTGGAAGCCGCCCATGCTATAATGTTATTTGGATGTCATTCTAAAACATAAGAAATTAGGCTATTTATGGATGTCATTATAAGATAATTTATATTGTTCCGTATTGCCACAAATTATTTTGCATTTCTTAGTTGCTATTACGAATTATCATCACATAATGACAAATAGACCAATTAGCTGGACATCCATATCAGTGCCATGCCATTATATTAGCACAGGCATCTGATATATCAAAACAGAATGACTAAAGATAGAAGTTACTGCATTTTTCAGTCCAGCTAGAGTGAGCAAAACAGATCCAAGACCGAAAAATCGAGCTAAATTTGACACATTGTTACAGTTCGGTCAAGTTATTTTCATAAAAGACTAAAATTTAATTCGATTATCTTTAGTGTAGAAAATTTGCAGTCCCATTTTAATTCCAGTTTTATGTGCTGCATTGCAATACTGTTGAGTTGGTGAAAATTTTTACAATTTCTACATTGAAAAGAAAATAAATGACCAGTTCACACGCATTAGCACATGCTCTCAATCATCATCAGATTGATTCAGAAACTCCTCCCTATTAGGTATTAACAAAGAAAAAAACGAAAAACAGTATGTCTCATCCCAACAAATTACAAGAAATGTGAATTTGCAACACACACACACACACAAAACTCTAGCAACCCTCTCTCTCCCAAAGAATTTGCTCATCAATCTTGCTCAACCTCTCATCATCAACCCTTTTCCATGTCTTAATCCTCTCGACCCCACTCCACGACTGCTCGCCTTTCCCAAGTTCTGCCACTATAACTCTACCCCTTCTCGGCCACCCAGCAAGCCCATAACCGTGATACCCAAAACCTCCACCATAACAGAACCAAATACCGGTTAAAGTCCCACAAAAGTCGTTATTATGATCATGGCCTATGAACACAGCCTTCACATCTCCCATAGAAATGAACGTGTCAAGCACGCCAGAGTTGACAAGAGAGCACGCAACATACTCTCTGTAATTCCCGACAATATTGTAGATTGGCCCTTGTCTGAGTTCGGGTATTGGGATGTGAAAGAAAGCCAGTGAAGGAAGGGATGGGTTTTTGCTGTCCTGCATTTGGCGTGTCAACTGCATAGTGTTAATAATATGTAATGATAGAGGATAAGGGCCGATCGTTCGTTTTACGATTTACTGCATCTTAAGAAAATGTAAATGCGCTTTTTTTTATCCAACTGCAGAAAAAATCCAATTTATACTCTCAAAAGTACAGAGAAACAGTAAAGTTTGTTCTCAGTAGAGCATTAGTAATAAGGTGATTACAAACCCCACGAGGATACTTGCAATATTAAAAGATGGAGGGTGTTTTTGATAATTTGCTATACCTCTGGATAATTTTATAAATTCCTTTGTTTCTATTACTCTTGACATTAGTGGTGAATTTTCAGACTTAGACCTAATAATATTGAACCATAAATCATTTACAATGCTAGCATGCTTACCTTGACATTATCAGAAACACGGCGAAGCCAGTTAAGTTGAGATTCTTTAATCCAATCATAAGTTCGGACTCCATTGACAGTAGCTCTATCCCCGCTATCGAGAAAATAAAGATTGAGGACAGTGGTATTTGCTAGACTGGAGCCCGGAGCACCAAATACTCTCAAATCGTAGTTTCCAAATCCATCAATTTTGGGAATTGGGTTCTTTTTTGGGGAATTGGAGTTATCTTCAACTGATGGAGAGGTCTGTGCTAGAGAGAAATCCATGAGAGAGATGAATGACATTAGCTCCTCACGTGTCATGGTAGATTCTTGATCGTGATTTCCTAAAACGGCAGCCCAAGGAATCCCAGATTTTATAACGGGTTCAAAAGCTTGGAATAGTGACTCGGCAGCATCAGTTGCGCTCGAGCCAAATATGTTATCTCCTGAGTTGAAAAACTCAAAAACATCAGGAAACAAATATTGAAAAGGAAAAAAAAAACAAGATATAATTGCACTTGACAGCACAACATGAGAAGTTAATATATTTTCAGTACGGTGCTTCTCCATACAGCAAAATATAAATTAGTTTCTTCAATATAATAACTAAACCCATAAAAACATCAAGTCTAGCCTAAAAAGTTAGAAAACAATGAAAAACCCTTGCATAAAATGAGTCATATGTTCTGGTCATGGTGACTGGCAGAGGTGTATAGCTAACACGCATAATGAGTTAGCCAGAAGTTGTCCAACTGGTAAAAGTTCTCTGAGATCCAAATTATTTGCAACAAGAGAAATTCTTTATGAGAAAACGTCAAAAGCATGAGAAAACGCAATACACGATGCCATTTTCCTCACTAACAGACAAACCTACTCTTGAGAAACCGTAGTCTCTTGTATATCTTTGGCACATTTATGTATGCATGCACACTTGAAAAGAGTAATTATGCAAACTCCTGTTCTATGAATAAACAAGTACATATGATCCTACTTGTGCATCTTACTCTTAGAGAGAGTGCAGAACAGAAAAACCAACTTGAAAGAGAACTATCAATATACACTCAACGTACTTGTAATGCATTACAAGGAGACAGGCTTTCTGTTTTTATGCCTCCAAAGCAACCTTCATGAGAAAAATTGTCCAGACTATTTTTATGTCCAATAAAATGAAATTGAGTTTTTACAACTAACCACATTTCTCAAAACCAAAATAAGGTTTTCCCCATAATCTCGAACCATACATGCAAAGCAAATCTCAACTGTTCCTTTCAACACAAAAATTCTTGTGCCCCTTACTACTGTTTGGGCTGTGCAAAATCCTACCATGAGTTTCAAGCGCAAATTCTTTCTCAGTTTAACATCCATTAGAGCAAGTACGAGTTGGTACCAGTAAAAGCAACAAAATCAGGGCTTTCGAGCTGGATCATCTTCTCGAGAAACCGAGTCGTGTTCAAATCGGAACAGTGATTAAACTCTGTTTCCAGTACATCACGGCACCGAGTCAACTTCCCATTCCCGATATGCATATCAGCCACCTACCAAAAAAAAACAATAATAATTATTAAAAAAAAAAAAGAAGTGAAACACACATACACACATCAACAATTCATTAGCTTCACACGACCTTGATAAGTGATCCGATTTTGGTTTAATCCTTTCTTTAATTATTTCCCTTTACCTGGAGGATTTTGAAACTTCCGTCGGCGCGAAAGCGCAGTGGAGTGTGCGCCATTTTCTTGATTCTAGCATCTTGATGATGATTAATGGCGAGTTTTGGGGAGACGAAGAGAGTGTGAAGAAAGTGTACGGAGATGGAAACCAGAATAAGGTAGAGGAAAGAGTGGATCCATCTACTCTGATTCCAAGCATCCATTTTTTTACCTTTGTTTTTGTAAGGAGTGAGAAAATCAAAATATATGATTTATTGGGTTGGGCCTATAAACTAAACCTAATATATAATGCAACAATTATAATTAACACCCCATATAAAACTCAAAGTAGTATGGTAGAGATCAATTTGAGTTTGCTAAGAAGTAAACAAAAACGATCGGGAAAGAGAAATTTCGTGAAGACATTCGTTGTTTGATCTGTAGAGCTTGATCGGTAGAGGAGACTGAAACAAGTTGCACAGTCCCATGAGCAACATGTTGTCGAATGAAGTGACAGTCAATCTCAATATGCTTGGTGCGCTCGTGAAAGGTATCATTATGAGACATCTTGATAACACTCTGACTATCACAATGTAGAACATTAGACGACGACTGAGGTGCACCAAGGTCAGCAAGTAGTCGACGCAGCCATAATAACTCTGAGGTGGAATGAACAAGAGCACGATACTCAAACTCAGTACTCGATCTGGAAACTAATGTTTGTTTCTTACAGCGCCAAGAGATGAGTGAATCACCCAGAACAAAGCATTACCTAGTAATAGAACGACAATCGGTAGGATCTCCAACCCAATCTGCATCAGAATAATCGCTAAATATCAAGCAAGAACAGGTCGAGAAGTGTAAACCATGCAATAGAGTGTCCTTCACATAGAGAAGGATGTGCAACACAGCAGAATGATGTGTGGTTCTCAGAGCAGCCGTAAACTGACTCACAATATGAACAACATGAGTTATATCAGGCCGAGTGACAGTCAAGTATATCAAACTCCCAACAAACTGACAACATAATGTAGTATCCTCAAGAAAATAGCCATCAAGTGGAATAAAACAAACACCATAATCAAGAGGTGTGGAAGCTGTCTGACAATCAGTGAGACCGGCTCGAGCAAGAAGATCAGATGCATACTTGGCTTGAGACAAATAGAAGCCATAAGAGGAATCAAATATCTCAAGACCCAAAAAATAGCGAAGCTGGCCCAAACTCTTCATCTCACAACGATGACGAAGATAGTACTGTAAATCAGAAATACCGGTAACATCATCTCCCGTGATGATCATATCGTTAACATAGAGTAGCAAAATAATGATCCCAGATGAGGAGCGCCGAAGAAATAAAGCAGAATCGTGATCACTCGTAGTGAAATCAAACTGAAACAATGCAGAACTGAACGTGGCATAATAGGCACGAGGCGCTTGTTTCAAGACATACAAAACTCGACATAGACGACAAATCTTCTCAGATGACAAGGATCCCGGAGGAGGAGTCATGTAAACCCCCTCAGATAAGGCACCGTGCAAGAAGGCATTCTTGACATTTAACTGTAGAAGAGAACATCGACGAACAACAGCAACTGCAAGTAAACACCGGACAATAGTAAGACGAGCAGCCGATGCAAAAGTCTCTTCATAATCTATGCCATACTCTTGTGAGTAAGCCTTAGCAACCAGACGAGCTTTGTAGTGTTCAATAGATCCATCTGAATTCATCTTGATCTTATAAACCCATTTGCATCTCATGAGAGTCTTGCCAACAGGTAAATCCACCAAATCTCAAGTATGCGTGTAGAGCCTCGTTCGGATATTGGATTTTCTGGATATTTATTTATCTATTTATTGGCATTATTTATTTTCTTATGACTTTGATTAATTGATTATGTTATATTATTGATTGAATAATATGATTTTATAAGTTCGTTCGATTTTATTTATTGTTTGCCGTTCGAATTTTCGGTTTGATCCCGTAAGCCGAAATATTATCCGTTTTAATTCATTTTCGAACCATTGTGAACCGAACATCGAACCAATGATCCAGCCCTTAAAAATGTGGCCCCCGGACCTTTTTATCTTAAGAAAACCGGCTCTTTTGCTAAGCCAAAACCGCCCCTTTTTACCTTGTGCAATAATTTCGTTTTTCCTTCAAAATTCAAATTATTGATGTTCACTTTTGGACACCCCTTGGAGCCGTTTTTTATTCCCCTTCATGCGGTCAAGAACCCCAAATCTTTCCTAAAGGATATTGTTGAATTAATGAAATTATATTCATTGACACTTGACTTGGTTAATTACGGTACCGTCCCTAGTGTGAACGCAATGCTGTATGTTCTAACCTCGTCCTGCTTCCATCTCACCCTAGGCCCTATATAAACCACCCCAACCCCCTTTCACTCTCATTCTATCGTACGCCAGCCACCCTCATCACTATTTCACTCATAAAAACCAGAAAAAAAAACCCTTCAATCCAACGCCACCCTCCTTCGTACACTTCAGCGCGCTAATCGCTGCATCACTGTCGCCAGCACCACGCACGCCCTCGCGGTTCCTTGCACCCGCGCGAGAAGAATCCCGCGAGCGATCCCCGACCCTCCGCACGATCGAGTCCAAGCCCTCCACCATCGACCTCCCTTGCTCGACCGTGGACACAGGACCAACGATCAGGACGACCGATCGCTTTCCCTGTTGTTCGATCACCACCAGTCGAGACGCGCGAAGCCGTCGAGTCGCCGAGTCCCGCGCTCATCAGCCTATTCAGCCTCCCTTCATGCTCTTTGAATATTGGAACATTTGACTGTCCTTGTCCTTATGGTGAAGGTCTTGGACGATTTCAATGTGTTTTGAGGCCTTTATAAATTTTCGAATTTGAACTAGCCTCTAAAAATGGGAAAACTTATATAAAATCGAATACTCGGCCTTTTTGCTTGAAATTTTGAGGGTAGTCTCCTCTTTTGTTGTGTTCTCTTGTGTAAAAATTTCAGATTAAAATTCAAATGATAGCTATGTGATCTGAGGATTTGTTATTTTGGTATGTTTCATTGAAAATCGGTATAAAATCATAGGCTTGTTATAATTGAATGAAATTCTGGGATTTAGAGTCTTTCATGATGTTCAGCATGTGGTTAAAATTTCAAAGGAAAATTCGAACGTTAGACTATTGAACCAGAAACCCCTCCCTTTGTCTTTAATTTTGCAAAAATTGGTTTAACTTGTTAGGAATCGATTGAAGGGTCACTCTCTTATATTCTGGTCCCATTTAAGTCTATTTGAGGTGGTAAAAATTTCGTTTGATTGCCCCGATACAAACTCCCATAACCCCGATTGTTTTATAAAACATGTCCTGCTGTCGGGTCACTGCCAGTGCCCGCGCCCCCCCAACGCCAGCCAGTGCCCACAGGCCTTCTCCCGCGAGTCCTTGTGCGCCCTCCCATGGCCAGCGACCAGCTCCCGCACCCGCGTGCGCGCCATTCACCCACACATCGAGTTTTGGAATGTTTAGTTTCAGCTGCAACATTAAACTCGAATATCTCAGCCTACAGACATGCTATTAACATGAAATTTTTATGACAGGTTAATATATATGTTGAGAGTGTGCATGTTCAATTTCAGCTCAAAATGTTGAGAAGTGAGCAAGATATAAATTTTAGATTACACACATGTCAAGTTGAACTTTGTTGCAATAGAACTCAGTCTATACTCATGCTTTTGATGTGAGATTTTTATGAGTTTGTCTTACATCGCTATAATCTTGTACCATGTATGAGGTATGTATGTAGATATTTTACCCGAACGGTTGAGTTATCCCGTTCATGGTCCAGTTTTGTTGACTCAGTCTTGTATGGAAGGTTTTCCTATCCTGAGTCACTCGCCCAGTTGAGTAGTGGCCACCAGCAGGCCCTCAGGCGCCCCAGCGCCCATTGCCCGCGCCCCAGCGCCCACTGCCGCACCCCGGTGCCCACTGCCCATGCCCTAGTACACCCGGTGAGCCCTGTCTGCGCCAGACCGCGCCCGGCTGCACCCGTGTCGGTCTGATTGAACCCGGTTTTGATTTTTCCGAATCGTTTGACCTATCTTTGACCTGTTGACCCTGTTTTTCGTATCGAGTCTATTTTTAATGTTTTTAAAATAATTTTTCTGATTCTAGCTTTTAAGACCAAGTGTTCCAACTTCAACAAAATTTCACGAACTTACTTAGCCGATAATGTTCGACTAAGTATGATTTCTCGTGATCAATTCTAAGGATCAATATAATGTATTAATGAAATTATCTTGATTAAATGTAGGTGTTTGACGAGCCGAGCTCTGAACCTACCTTGCTGTACGAGCATTTCTCTGCTAAATTATCTAGGTGGGTTTATTTAAATTCATATGCCATAAATTGTCTATATTTTGTTGGACGGTATGATTAATGTATGCGTGTGAACCATGTAACCTTCGATGTGTGCTGTATGACCTTCGAAACGGTTATCCCCATCTTGTGTGTTGTATGACCTTCGACGATGCCTAATGATATGCAGTCTCCCTTAGCCTAATGATAGGCCATGTCGATGGGTGTTGTATGACCTTCGACATGTACTCCCATTGATTAGTGTTGTATGACCTTCAGTGGCTTTTATAGATGTGCACATGAGTAGTATATGTTTAGGAGATGTGATATGTTGATTGATTCATGTTCATTCTGCAACCATACTGATATAGCCATATAAAGACATACCGGCCCAAAGGCTCTCTACTCGACCGGGTGGAGGCTCAAACCGTTCGACATGTCGACATGCACCCGTCGACATGTTCAAGTCGACTTCCTCCAGGTCGACTCTCGGAATGACAGATGCCCTACAAGTCGACTCTCGGAAGTCGACATTGTTCAGTCGACTTCCCGAAAGTCGACATCTATCTGAGAAAACCAACAAGAGCGTAGCCTCCGAACAACCAGAAGAATCTTGATCGACGCATTCATACTCGATGTCGACTCCTTATACTTCGAGACGGAAGACACCCCGACGATTCCACACACTTGGTGTATTTCTTGGAACCTCTTGTCCTTAAATGGATAAGAAGGAATCTTGCGATGACTCAGCAAGGAGAGGAGACGAATCGACCGGGGCAATTTAGACCTTTTAGGTCCACCGACCGGGGCATTTCGGGTACTTCAAGTAAGTATTCACTC